TTTTTTTTCTTTGTTTTTGTCATTTTGTAAGTTTTTGTCTGATTTTGAAATGACGTCCCACCAGTTCGCTCTTGGATTTCATCAGGACCTTAAGAGTGTTACATCATCCGAACGGCTCAGGTGTGTGACGTGTTTGTGCTCTTCTGTTTATCAGGAACAGGCCGCGGACAGGGAACACGAGCGCGACGTCTTTCAGCAGGAGATTCACAGCCTGGAGCAGCAGCTGAAGAACCCGCCCAAAACAGGAAGCGGAAGTGACCGCAGGGACCGAGAGGTACGACACCCGATCGCTCACCCCGAGGCCTCACGCTAGTTTCACTCACGCCTATACTCCTCAGACAATGAGCTTGTGTTCTCTCTGCTGGACTGATATCAGCTCAAACACACACAACACCTCACAAAACAGCAGAACAACTCTAAATACCAGCAGGAATACAGAACAGTCTTAATAAATAGTCCGTTTATATTCATAAAATGGCATTCGTAACCAATTGTATTTCTGTAATATGACTTTTTTTTTTTTAATGAGTCCTAAAATACAGAAATTTGTATTTTTGAATGGGTTTTTCAATGGCTTAAATGCCATATACAGTTGTAATCGAAATTATCCCCCCCCCCCCATTGCAAATCAGGTTTATTGGCAAAATTTACAGACTTTCTGCGGTTTGCAATGAACAAATCAAACAAAAGTAATTGAAAGTTCAACACAACAAATGTATATATACTATTTTAGATTTTCTACTCAGTGTTAATTGCTGCCTGTTTGTAATTCATTGTGAAATTTACTAGCAATTTTTTGAAAATTGTTTTAAAGCAAGCAATCTCTTTTTTCATGATACTCTGTTACGATGGAAAAACAATCAATTAATAATATAGCTGCGAGCAGCGATTACGGGCCCAAGCCGGTGGCACCGCAACCCTGGTGCCTTTAGTTACCTAAAGGCACCGGGGTGGCGGTGCCGCCGGCTTTGGCCCTTCATCGCTGCTCGCAGCTATATTTATATATATATATATATATATATATATATATATATATATATATATAAAAAAGCCGGTGGCACCGCCACCCTGGTGCCTTTAGGGTTATTGTGCACGACGTGACACAAAATATCTGCTCGCTATCTGCCGAACGGCTCTGGTAGTTCCGCTTCAGCACTGATGATGTTGTAGAAATAGTGCGCTCTGGTTGGTCTGGATTATTCGGGATTTTGTATTTTATACAGAAATAAGTTATTTATAATTCAGATGAGAATAAAGTTAGTGTTGATTAAAATGAAGGAAAACAAATATATTTATCTGAAATATAGCACATTAGTTTTAAATTTATTTAGGTTCAATTACCAAACATACAATCTTAATTTAATTTAAAGCAAACTATATATTAAAAATATATGGCTTGTATGCACTTTTTTTTTATAAAAAAAAAGATATATATCCAAAAAGACAAGGTCTTAAAGGGTTAAACTCTTGTCACTGTAACAGACACAATCTCTCTCTCACACACACACACACACACACACACACACGTCAAGTCACTTACATTTTAGATGCAATATTGAATAAGCAGAAAAATCGGATTTTCTGCTCTGAAAATATAAATAAGCTTAAAAATTGAATAAGCACTTTGAATATTCTAAACAGAATGAGCACTAGTCGCTAATGTATAAGTACTAGTACTTAAAGGACAACTCCGGCGCAAAATGAACCTCGGGTGTAATAACACATTGGTACAGAAAATCGTTCCCTGAGATTTGTTTTCATGATAATCGAATATAAAGAGTTTTATCTCTAAAAACAATTTAGCTTATAACGCTAGTATATTGGGCATCGAGTAAGCAAAAAGAGATCGCTAGTTAATACCATTAACAAGGCTCAAATTAGCCCCACACTAACACGGCAGCATAATGAGTGTCCTTGCATGCAAACCGAAGCATTGAGAACTTTGTAAGTGTATAGACAGTTTAATAAGAAGATACTTTACACAGACAGTACAGTTAGCGCATACAGACAGCAGCCATCTTGGAAAACAGTCTCGATCAATCGAACCACGAAGGTGAGCGAACAGTACGTGTAGATATTGAAGATAAGATGAATTATATTTATTTTTTTATTTTCTCTGTTGCGTTCAGTGCTTCTCTTATGCGCTCAGTGCTTTCTTCCGGAAACAACGGACCATATGAGATTCCAAGTCACAGTTCAGCTCACGTATCACCGTGTTCGTGGTTTGACTGATCGAGGCTGTTTTCCAAGATGGGTCCTGTCTGTATGCGCTAGCTGTACTGTCTGTGTAAAGTATCTTCTTATTAAACTGTCTATACACTTACAAAGTTCTCAATGCTTCGATTTGAATGTAAGGACACTCATTATGCTGCCGTGTTAGTGTGGGGCTAATTTGAGCCTTGTTGATGGTATTAACTAGCGATCTCTTTTTGCTTACTCGATGCCCAATATACTAGCGTTATAAGCTAAACTGTTTTAGAGATAAAACTCTTTACATTCGATTATCATGAAAACAAATCTCAGGGAACGATTTAGTCTGTACCAATGTGTTATTACACCCGAGGTTCATTTTGCACCGGAGTTGTCCTTTAATGGAATAGATACTAGTATCTAAAAAATAAGTACTAGTAGCATGAAAATAGAGACTAGTAGGTTAAAATGATTAAATGTTAAAACGGCTTGCCATATTGGCTCAGAGAGAGAGAGAGAGAGAGAGAGAGAGAGAGAGAGAGAGAGAGAGAGAAAATTACCTTTTAGATACTAGTACCTATTAATAGATACTAGTATTTAGGCTCTAGATCCACTCCGAAAGTCACTTCGTGATCATTTAACCGCTTCATTTGAGAAAAACTATCATTATGACATAAACAAACAAACTCAAAAGGTCTTCACGGCAACCCGTCAAAATAAAAGTTCAGTTTAACTTGACAGAAACATATTACCGTTGTACAGTAGAATTTAGATATGTCCCAATGTAATAATACTAACACTAATCCAAATAAATTATCATCAAAACTGAATTTAAGGAATAATCCATGTTTTAATTTTAACAGTAAAGCTCATTGTGCAGCACGTTATTTGACAAAAAGTTTATTTAATTTCATATGATTAAAATTGATGATAAATGATAAAATTTGTGTTTTATGTCTTCATTTTATTACCAGAAAAAACACAACACAGAATTAGTGTGACATTTTTTTTCATATTTTTTTTAAATGTTGTATACGTTTAATGATTCATAATACACTATTTCAATTAATTAGACATGCTTTTTGATTGCTAAAAAATTTACACCACGTATTCGTAATACACCCGCTCCGCAACACTAGCAGTTCCCCCAATCCCCCACCCCCCCCCCGAAAAAAAATCCTAGGGGAAACACTGGGCATTCATAACGGTGCGCGTCCATGGCGACGAGCGAGCAGAGCTGAGTGAACGTTTAGTTAATTTATTCATTCGAGCGCTCTGCAAGCGCCACCATTATCAATGTGGACGTCCGTATTTAAAAGCTCTCGATCCTCAGTCACATACCAAATATGTATATAATTTTGAACACAAGAGGGCAGTATGGCCCTATGTATGAGTTGGTGTTTAAACTAACCTATCACTCAAAGAGCCCCCCCCCCCCCCCCCCCCCTCCCCACACAGACACACACACACACACACACACAAACAGAATGGCAGGGGGACAAGAAATCCATTCAAACTACAATATCTGACTTTCTGTTGCTCTGAGCTAATGACTTTAAATTAGAAAGTCGATTGGCTTGATGAGAACAATATGCGTGGCAAGTTTTGTAACTGTAGGTAAAACGAGCAAAGTTATAACACACTTTATGTGTCCTTTTTTAGTCATAAAATTAATTTCCTCGCCACGGCCAAACCGTTCGAGATATCAAAAATCCCTCCGGAATTTAGCATCATCAATGTCTTGACGTCATGCTGACCGAGTTTGCTTGAAATCCGATCAATTCCCAAGGAGAATTAAATAGAATTTCAGGGGTATGCGTTTCCAAACAAACCATGATAGCCGGCTTCCTGTTGGGATGTCGTAAAACTTAGAGCACGAAAGTTGTTCAACCCAATGAGATCTATAAGTGTACCGAGTTTCATATTATTACATGCAAGTGTCTTTGATTTATGGACAAGTGTTCGAATCCCAGTCCAGGGGGCGCTGTCGGTCCGCCCTGCCACGCCCGGGTACCAGCTTCAGTCCGGCCCTGATGGCCACGGGTTCTGACCCGTGTGCAAAGTTTCAAGAGTTTTAGAGGATGTTAAGGGCCCCAAAAGCCCCCAAAACCTTGATCAACAATAATTAAAAGCTTTGTCACTCAAACAGACACATCCCCCTCCCCCCACAGACACAGAGGTATGCAGAGAGAGGGAGAGAGGGACAGAGATTACTCCAAAACATCCCATTCAAACCAAAATATCTGACTTCCTGTTGTTCGGAACCAAAATCTGTAAATTAGAAAGTTGTCCGGCTTGATCTGAACAATATGCCTACCGAGTTTTAAGATTGCAGGTAAAACTATGAAACTAACCCTCTCACTTTTGTCAAAAGGTGGCGCTACTGAGTCCCTGCACCACGCCCGTTCCTGAAACTTTGCACATGTCTACTGGCTAATATATGTGACATGTCTGTCGAGTTTCATGCAATTTCAAGCATGCTAAGAGTCTCAAAAGCATCAAAAAAGAATTTTAAAGTTTGATGTGTTGCCACGGCAACAGTATCAAAGATATCAAGAATCCATTCACAGGTCTACATCTGGCGTATGTTTACATTATACAGATGAAGTTTGAAGCAAATCAGGTAAAAATAAGAGGGTGATTTCAAAGCATTTTGAAAGTGACACACTTCCTGCTGCCAGTTGGTGGCGCTATAACTTTGACTCACAATAGTCACATCCATGTGATCGGCCTCTTACAGCGATCACACTGCTGAAGTTTCATCAAGATCAGTTAATGTATGCAGAAGTTATAACACACTTCCTGTTTCACGTTTCTCGCCATAATTTCGTTTACTCGCCACGGCCAAACCGTTCGAGATATCAAAAATCCCCTCGCAATTTTTCATCCTCAATGTCTTGACTTCATGCTGACCGAGTTTCGTGGCATTTCTTTGAATTCTCTAGGAGAAGTACTTTAAATTCCATTGCATGCGTTTTACAAACAACCCTAAATAGCCGACTTCCTGTTGGGCTGGGGTAAAAAGTAAGAGCATGAAGTATATATGAACCGATGAGATCTATATGTGTACCGAGTTTCATATTCTTACACACAAGCGTGTTTGATTTATGGACCAAGTTTTCGGACCCCGTTCCAGGGGGCGCTGTCGAGCCCCCCTGCCACGCCCGGGTACCATCTTCACCCCGACCCTGATGGCCGCGGGTTCTGACCCGCGTGCAAAGTTTCAAGAGTTTTCGTGCACGTTAAGAGCCCCAAAAGTGCCCGAATAGTCGTAAGAAAAATAAAAGAGGAGAAAAAAAAAAAAAAAAAAAAAATAATCCTAAGGAAAACAATAGGGCCTTCGCCTTTTCAAGGCTTGGGCCCTAAAAATTATAAACAACAAATGACTTCTGCAGTATCTAAAGTATTCAACCCCTTCATGGCAAGGATCTTTAGTACTTAGTAGAACGACCCTTTTTCTTGCTTTTGCTGCTGCAACCGCCATCTTTAAATCCCACCAGAGATTTTCAATAAGGTTCAAGTCAGGTGACTGTGGCTTTCTTCTTGGACCATTCTTTTGATTTAGCCGTATTTCTAACATGCAGACAAACGTGACACTCAACAAGCCTCGCCAGTTCAGATGTTTCATGTGTTCTAGCTCAAGCACACCTGGTGCAACTAATGAAGCCCTTGATTAGTGAGACAAGACAGATTTGTGCTGTTTTGAGGGATTCTATTCAGGCGGTTAAATAACTTTGAGACTGCAGAAGTCATTAAAAGTTGCATTTCCAATTGAATTTGTGGAAACCACTAGAAACATTTGTTGTGTTGCGCTATTTCAATTACTTTAGTTTGATCATTGCAAACAGCTGAAAGTCTGTACATTTGCCAATAAACCTGATTTGCAATGTGGGTTGAATAATTTCAATCAGAACTGTGTGTGTGTGTATATATATATATTATATACTGTATACACATCATGAGTTTAAAAATTAGCTGGCTCCCAAATTAGCTGACAGCAAATAAACACACACTCAGTCCTTTACGTTAAGAGATGTTTTACAGCTTCAGCATGTGCAGAAATAGACACATTAAAGGGATAGTTCACCCAAATATGAAATTAGCCCATGATTTACTCTCCCTCAAGCCATCCTAGGTGTACATGACATTCTTCTCTCAGACGAACACAATTGGAGTTATAACTCCATATTTAAAACGTTTTAAAATAACTAGCTTCCGGCAGACGGCCGTACGCATCGATTTACGGCGAAAGAGAAACCCTTGACCCGACGCACGACGTAATGATGAACGCGTCTCTTCAATTTTTAAAGAGAAATGTGGGAGGAGCTTGAGTGTGTGTTTGCTTGCACCGCGAGAGGCTCAGAGCTTTCGCTACTCCTACATCTACGTCATACATCGTCAAGTGCTGCTCTTGTGGCGTAAGTCGACTTGCGTACGACCGTCTGCCGAAGCTAGTTATTTTAGTCGATAAAGTTTTAAGTATGGATATTTTTCTTCCACTAATTCATCGCTTCACTTCAGAAGGACTTTATTAACCCTCCAGAGCCTGTGATGCACTTTTATGATGGATAGATGCACTTTTATGATGGACAGATGCACTTTTATGATGGATAGATGCACTTTTATGATGGACAGATGCACTTTTATGATGGATAGATGCACTTTTATGATGGACAGATGCACTTTTATGATGGATAGATGCACTTTTATGATGGACAGATGCACTTTTATGATGGATAGATGCACTTTTATGATGGACAGATGCACTTTTATGATGGATTGATGCACTTTTATGATGGACAGATGCACTTTTGTTATGGATAGATGCACTTTTATGATGGATAGATGCACTTTTATGATGGATAGATGCACTTTTATGATGGATAGATGCACTTTTATGATGGATAGATGCACTTTTGTTATGGATAGATGCACTTTTATGATGGACAGATGCACTTTTATGATGGACAGATGCACTTTTATGATGGATTGATGCACTTTTATGATGGACAGATGCACTTTTGTTATGGATAGATGCACTTTTATGATGGACAGATGCACTTTTATGATGGACAGATGCACTTTTATGATGGATTGATGCACTTTTATGATGGACAGATGCACTTTTGTTATGGATAGATGCACTTTTATGGATTTCAAAAAATATACGGCCATTCACTGCCATTATAAAGCTTGGAAGAGCCAGGACATTTCAGATTGTGTTAGGGTGAGTAAATCATGGGCTAATTTTCATTTTTGGGTGAACTATCCCTTTAAGTGATTTGCAGTCAGTTGCCAGGCAGCGACACACACACACTCTCAAGCACACACACACTCATCTGACGTCATATGGCCGCTCTCTCTCTCTCGCTCTGTCTCTCTCTCTCCTCATCTCTCTCTCCCTCTCTCTCTCTCTCTCTCTCTCCTCATCTCTCTCTCCCTCCCTCCCTCTCTCTCTCTCTCCTCATCTCTCTCTCCCCCCCTCTCTCTCTCTCTCTCTCTCCTCATCTCTCTCCCTCCCTCTCTCTCTCTCTCTCTCTCTCTCTCCTCATCTCTCTCTCCCTCCCTCCCTCCCTCCCTCTCTCTCTCTCTCTCCTCATCTCTCTCTCCCCCCTCTCTCTCTCAGGTGCAGGAGTTGACCCGTGCGCTGCAGGATAAGTCTGACTGCTGCAGTGAGCTGCTGTTGAGCGCCGAGCAGCTGCAGAGAGATGTGTGTGAGAGAGACGAGGAGATCGAGACGCTCGGCGCGCGCGTGAGAGAGCTGGAGCACACACTCATGCACAGGGTCAGTGTGTGTTTCTCCTCCGGTTCTGCTGTTAGCCGCCAGTCTTACTCCACTGGGACGCTGTGTGTGTGTGTTTGTGTGTGTGTGAGGGGAGCATGACGAATGGCAGTGTCTGAACGCTGAGCGTGAGTGTGAATGTGTGTGAGGAGAGCATGATGAATGTGTGTGTCCTTGCTGTGCATTAATGTGGTGTGTGTGTGTGAATGCAGTGGTTTAGCGTCACGTCTCTGCTTTAATGATCATGTTCTGTCTCTGTCTCTGTGTGTGTGTTGTTGGGCTTGTGTTCAGCGTGATCAGATGACCTGTTTGTGTGTCTAATTTAATTGTGAATGAATAGATTTGCAGAAGGGATGGGAGTGAGTTTATCTAGATGTTATTCTTATATTCTTGAATATTTTTTGCGTGTTTCTGACCGTCTGATTACTGTAACGTGCAAAAGCACCGCACACGCGCTACACACGCTACACACGCTACACACGCTAAAGCCACGATCTGGGAAATGTGTTGTTTTTCACGTCCCTATTTATGTGACCTTGAGTTCTAAAAAGGAAATAAATAAATTTTATTTTGTCATGCAACTTTTTGATTTTGAATATTGATTTTTTTTAGTACTTATTTTGAATGAATAAATAATAAAATTATTATTTTGTCATGTAACTGTATTATTAAACATTGATTTTAATATTATTGTTGTTGTATTAGTTGTTGTGATTATTATTTGCCTTTCAACATTATTATTAGATAATTACATAATAATAATAATAGTTAGAAGTTTATGTAGATGTATTTTTAGAATATTGATATTATTGTTGTTGTGATTTTTATTATTTTACTACTGATTGTTATTGTTTTATTATTATTTTGTCATTCTTTTTTATTTGTATTTATTTATTTTATTAATGTTATTATTTTTACAAATAAATAAATAACAATTGTTGTTATTTTTGTTGTTGTTTTGATTATTTTTATTTTGCCATTAAACATTATTATTATTGTATAAATAAATAATCATATTCTTTTATTTAATTTTTTATCATTATTAATATGTCTGTTAGTAATCTGCAAAAGTACATATTTTCAAAATAGTACATGGTTCACCTGGACGACTAATTAGTCTGTATAATTGCACATCAGAGTGTGTGTTTAAAGTGCTGTGTGTGTGTGTGTGCGCAGGTGGAGGAGGCTCAGCATGTGTCCATGGCGGGCCGGGGAGACGTCACACTGGAGGCTCAGCTCCAGACCGAGAGAGAGGCTCTGGACAGGAAGGAGAAAGAGGTACTTCCTGTCACATGACCCTCTCACTGACAGAACACCCTCACCTCGTGTGTATCGAGACGCAGTTTGTAGTGTGTAGCGCTCCTCACTTTCATTCCCGCTATAGAGCGATGATCCTTGAACAAAACCAGCCAGCTCCGACGGGAATAACATCTCAAAATATGATGCCGAGTTTTTAAAATACATTTTTAATCTGTTTTTGTACCAGAAAGCGTCACTACTGTCGTCAAGTCAGCTTCATTTCTACAGCGCTTCTACAAAACACATCGTTTGAAATTATATTTATAGAATCTGCATCTTTATACTGTAACACTGAAACACCCTGTAATAACTCATGTTAGGCTGGTAGTTAATGTTACCCAACTAAGGGACTGTTCGTTTTTTATTTAAGGGGCCACCGGAGGAGATTTGAGATCTGTAGTCAAAAAAGACTTGACCCTCCCTTCGCCAGCAATAATTTTTTCTATGACCCTCCAAAATGATTGTGAAAAAAGGGATGACCCTCCCCGATAATTTATTGATTAGCCTACTTCTGTACTGGTTTGGGCTTGGCAAAGATGTTCAGATGACTATTGTTTTTTTACAACCATGACAAACGACTAAACTCCTGCTTTCTCATCTTACTAACGATAGACCAAACCTACAATTCGGTTCGTATCACGATTTTTGATTTGAAAAAAAAAAGTTATGTTTCGGTTTGCTGAATTTCGGTTCATTTATTAGAGAGAGTCCAGTTCACGCGCCGGCGCCTCCGTGTCGTGGTTATCTATTTTCTACTATATTTACTTCTTATTTATTAAATCCAGACAATTGGTTGATGAAACATTGATTAAAATTAAGATGCAATTAATAAAAAACGAAATTCACTTTAAAGAAAGGCTTTGTGCTGTCTCTGTGAAAGTTTTAAAGTCACTTTCAGAGCGGTCATGTCCGTAACGGAGAACTGCCACGTCCATAACATTTTTTTTCCCTCATAAATGCGAACACGAAAAAAATAAAAGAATATTTTATGTTATGTGGAGGCCAACCCTTATTCATCCGGTGGGTAGTATTATGGCGCTTTTCCATTACCAGTACCAGCTCGACTCGACTCGCCTTGGCTCGCTTTTCGCTCCGTTTTCCATTGCAGAAAGTACCGCCACAAAATAGTACCCGGTCGTCATAGCGACGCCTTTCGTTCCTCGTTGCCCCATCAAGCTCTCGCTGGATCCTCTCTTCGGCAACCAAACAAAGGAATGTCTGCACCTCCTCGTTTGACCACGGCGTCTTCTTCCGAGTTGCCATAATAATAGTAGTAAGTTTAGTAACTATCTCTGGCCAAACTATTTAAAAATGGCGGGGTTATTCTGGATACTCCATCTGGCGCGTGCAATGATGACGCAGTGAATAGTGACCATTCTCTCTGACCAATCAGCAGTCGGCATTGTTTTCACGTCACATTTTAGTATCGCCTTAGCTCGCTTAGAACCTCGCCGGAGGTGGTACGAAAAAAAGTACCCGAAAGCAGGTACAGGTACAACTTTTACACAGTGGAAAACCAAACAAAGCCGAGCCGAGTCGAGTCGAGTCGAGCCGAGGCGAGCTGGTACTGTGTAGTGGAAAAGCGCCATTACTTTTGTTTTGCGCAGCGTAGTTCATAGAATTACTACAAAATATTTTGCCACCTAAAAGTTAACGTTTTTTGTGTCACATCACATTTCCCTCATATTAAATATAAAACGTGTATACATGTGTAGACTGATATTTTTCTAACGTCTGGACTCCTTTATTAAGGGAGTATGAATATATAAACAGACGTTTCAGTATTAAAAGCTTTTTCTGAGAATTTATATTTCAAGTTTTGACTGCAAATGTCACGTCCATAACGCTGGAATTGCCCAATTTTAAAGAATTTATCCTCAACTAGTTTTTTTGGTGTATGTCTACGTATTTTATTATGTTAACTTCAAGTAATACTAATAGTAATTTAAAAATGTGGTAGCCCTATGTCCAACACATCACACTCCACTGTTATGGTGGCAATTTCAGTAGATTTTAGGGCTCTTTTCGACTAAGGATTTTCATAGTCGAATCTGATTCGTTAGATTTAGCCGTAGTCGACTGATAGTCGAACCTTTTTTTTTTTTTTTTTTTTTAGATAGCAGCTAGACGTTCGGTTGAATAACTGTTCGTCTGTTATAGGACAACTCGCTCTATACGTTTATTTAAAATGAACAGCAAGACAACTAGAAGTGAATGTGCTTTCCATTAAATGAATCCTTAACAAAAAAAAAAAAATACGTTGCAATGAACGTGCTTTGTTTTAAATAAATCACACACAGTAAACAAAACAACTTTGCAATGAACTTTGCAATTTAGACGCGCAAACTGCGAGCCGGTGCGGTGAGACGTATAGCCTACATGCTTGGGCAGATTCGGCTTGAAGTCGTTCATCCTCGGATGCGGCGTCGCGCGCGCTGTTACAAAAAAAGCTGTGCACACAGCCAAGCGAAATGGGGTCTTGCGCACCCAACGCGTCATTTTTTGCCGTGCGCACCTTCGCGCTCGTGCGGACGCGTCGAGTATAAACCATAGGTATAAACAAGGCTTTAGCCTACTCCGTGTCAGCGCGCGCTCTGATCGGTAAAGGTGCACAGACCTCTCCCGAATCATCTCCAGCACTCAGCCTCCGACACACCACTAACTCCGCCTCCGCGTACCTCGTAAGATGATATTAGTATTTAAACATTCTCTATGATAAAAAATGTTTGTAAAAAATATTTGAATAGCACGGTTTTGGCGGTTATAGAGTTCTAATGACGGTGTTCAACTATAACCGTCGGTCTCACGGTTATATAATAACCGTCACACCCCTATTGGTTACGTAACACAACACTTCCCTACTATTCGACTATGAGGTTCACAGTCGAATCAGACCTCTCCGAATCGAATCGTCGAATCCTCGACTATTAGAAATCAGCCCTATTAGATTTACTCACTAACATTGCTGTGGAAACACAATAAGAATGGAAAAATAAAATCAAAATATGGTAGTATTAAAATAAAATATGGTAGTATCGTGCTACAGCGCACATCAGCTGCAGTTCTGGGGCCTCAGTCCCATTACTGTAAAACTTTTCTGAGCGCGTACTGAAGCGCGCGCGCACTGTCAGACAGCGCCAAACTGGATTTTCGTTGGGTCAGACCCATCTGATAGCGATGGGGGACAGAGACCGAGAGAGCTACATGTAGCTACATGGAAAAAATATGCACCAAACAAGCCACTTTGAAATTTTGCTGTTTTCATGAATACAAAAGTTGGGTGACCCTCCCCCTAGACTAAAAAAAGTTGGATGACCCTCCCCTCAACAAAGAATAAAAAGACATGACCCTCCCCTATTTTCCTCCGGTGGCCCTTTCCATAAATGCCGAACGGTCCCTAACCTCCGCTAATCTGCAAAAACTTTAGTTGTGGAGACTTTTATCATTTTAATAATTGATTGTTTTTCCCATGGTGACAGTGAGTATCATGAAAAAATTATGATAAAATATCAAAATTGAAAAAATATCATCAAATATTTTTAAAAAATTGCTTTTTTGCATTAATTACAAACAGACAGCAAATAACGCATTGAATTAAACATGACATTTTGAATTTGAAAAATCAAAAAAAGTATTTTCCTGTCGTAAAATCTGACTGTAACTAGCTCACTTCAGTGTGCACTTCTGTTAAAGTCATCGTGAAAGGGAAGTTGTGCTCGTCTTTTGTTCTCTTTTGTGTCGTATATCTGAGTAAAACTGCTTCTGGAACAAGAACAAATGTTGGGCGGGGCTTGATTTTGATTGGATGGTTGTGGTTTGCTATTGGCTGATTTTGTGTGAGTGACAGGTTAAAGCCCCGCCCACATCATCACAGAAGAAAAGCGATGCTTGATCCTCATGATTATTGATATTATATGATTATTAACACAATAATGATGTGCAGCGATAAATCATTTATAATGAACACTGCAAATAAGAATCGTGTGTGTGTGTGCAGATAGTGAATCTGGAGGAGCAGCTGGAGCAGTTTCGTGAGGAGCTGGAGAATAAGAGCGAGGAGGTGAATCAGCTCAACATGCAGCTGGAGATCCAGAGGAAGGAGATCAGCAGCCATCAGCAGGACCAGACCCGCCTCACACAGGTCAGACACACACACACACACACACACACACACACACACACACACACATCCTTCATACTCTTACATAAGAGGCTGTTTTCACACTCAGATTTTATTTCACACTTCCAGTTCATTTTCAGTGTTTGCTTCTTCCCACGCGAGTCTCGTTTCACATTGTGTTCTGTGTGTGTGTTTGCGTGAATATCATTGTGAGTGTTGTTCACTTCACTCTATACTCATGCTTTACTACAAACCTGATCACACACACAGCATTATATCTGATATACATTACCAGAAATGTGTGTGCAGCAAATTCTCTGTTCTGATCGCCAGCATTTGTTTGTGTTTCATCCTCATCCCCGCCGAAACGATCAAACCCCACCAGTTTAACCCCACCAGTTTAACCCCACCAGTTTAACCCCACCAGTTTAACCCCACCAGTTTAACCCCACCAGTTTAACCCCACCAGTTTAACCCCACCAGTTTAACCACATCAGTTTAACCACATCAGTTTAACCCCACCAGTTTAACCACACCAGTTTAACCCCACCAGTTTAACCCCACCAGTTTAACCCCACCAGTTTAACCCCACCAGTTTAACCACATCAGTTTAACCACATCAGTTTAACCACACCAGTTTAACCTCACCAGTTTAACCCCACCAGTTTAACCACACCAGTTTAACCACATCAGTTTAACCCCACCAGTTTAACCCCATCAGTTTAACCCCATCAGTTTAACCCCATCAGTTTAACCCCACCAGTTTAACCACACCAGTTTAACCCCATCAGTTTAACCCCACCAGTTTAACCACATCAGTTTAACCACATCAGTTTAACCCCACCAGTTTAACCCCACCAGTTTAACCCCACCAGTTTAACCCCATCAGTTTAACCCCACCAGTTTAACCACATCAGTTTAACCCCATCAGTTTAACCCCACCAGTTTAACCCCACCAGTTTAACCCCACCAGTTTAACCCCATCAGTTTAACCCCACCAGTTTAACCCCACCAGTTTAACCACACCAGTTTAACCACATCAGTTTAACCACATCAGTTTAACCACACCAGTTTAACCTCACCAGTTTAACCACACCAGTTTAACCTCACCAGTTTAACCACACCAAATTTAACCTCACCAGTTTAACCCCACCAGTTTAACCCCACCAGTTTAACCACATCAGTTTAACCCCACCAGTTTAACCCCACCAGTTTAACCCCACCAGTTTAACCACATCAGTTTAACCACACCAGTTTAACCCCACCAGTTTAACCACACCAGTTTAACCCCACCAGTTTAACCACACCAGTTTAACCCCACCAGTTTAACCCCACCAGTTTAACCACATCAGTTTAACCACACCAGTTTAACCACACCAGTTTAACCCCACCAGTTTAACCACACCAGTTTAACCACACCAGTTTAACCACACCAGTTTAACCACACCAGTTTAACCCCACCAGTTTAACCCCACCAGTTTAACCCCACCAGTTTAACCACACCAGTTTAACCCCACCAGTTTAACCACACCAGTTTAACCCCACCAGTTTAACCCCACCAGTTTAACCCCACCAGTTTAACCCCACCAGTTTAACCACACCAGTTTAACCACACCAGTTTAACCACACCAGTTTAACCACACCAGTTTAACCACACCAGTTTAACCACATCAGTTTAACCACACCAGTTTAACCACACCAGTTTAACCACACCAGTTTAACCACACCAGTTTAACCACACCAGTTTAACCACACCAGTTTAACCACACCAGTTTAACCACACCAGTTTAACCACACCAGTTTAACCACATCAGTTTAACCACACCAGTTTAACCACACCAGTTTAACCACACCAGTTTAACCACACCAGTTTAACCACACCAGTTTAACCACACCAGTTTAACCCCACCAGTTTAACCACACCAGTTTAACCACACCAGTTTAACCACACCAGTTTAACCACACCAGGCTGGGTTAACCCTATAAAGAGCATTCCTAAGGCCTGTAAATGAAGTCTTTGCTGTCGCACTCAATCTCTCAGTCCTCCTGTAGTCTTTCAGTGTAACTGTACAAACGTCCTTCAGCTCGAGCTTCACGAGTCTTTGTGTCAAATCTGAGCTGATTTTATCAAGGAAACGCAAGAATAACTTTGATATTGTTAGTAATATTTCAGCTGGACTGAAGCAGGTTTGCTTGATTATCATCATCATCTATTAGTAAAATCACGAGTATCAAATACGATCATCAGGTTTATTTGTTCATCTGTCAATCATCACTGTGTTGCATCGCATTATATGCTTTAAAACTACACATCATAAAACTGAGCTTTTAAATATCATCTTACTAAGACATTATTGGCTGATATTAATATTTTATATGCATTTTATGAAATTATCTGCTGTTTTGCTATAAAGATCTCATTGATTTACATTACAAGTATCAGAGTTTCATATGAACATCAGCATCTGCAGAATGAAACATTTGCATCTAATTTTACTCTTGCAATATGAAATTTCAGACAGAAACAGAATATCCAAGCACAAGAAATATGGGAAATTACTTGATTGGACAGTGAAAAGTGTCTGTATATGATCTCATATGCAGGGATGAAAAATAAGAGTTCCTGTATAATCGAGGGCACTGATGAATCGTTCAAAATAAGACGCGGGAACACGAATTACGATCGTAAATGGAGTCGGTTCTGATTCATGTTAACTTTAATAGTAATTAGGGTGTAAGACAGGAGATGTGACATCATCGCGAGGCTAATCTCAGCCCTGTCGTGCGCTAGCTGCCCTAAATCGTCCTCCCAGCAGACAAACGTGTCCTAAATTCAGAGTCATGTGACGATGTTTACCTCTTGAAGGTGTTGGAGGAGAAGGACGGGCAGATTATCGCCCTTAACGAGCAGGTCGTTAAGCATCAGCACACGGACACAGAGCCTGAGGAAGAGGTAAAGACGCGTGTACATATGTGTGTGTCCTGCACATATGCATATAGCAGCACTCGTCAAGCCCGCGCGCGTGTGTGTGTGTGTGTGTGTGTGTGTTTCGCCTCTCGGTTTGGTGCCTCCTGCTGTTTTTCGCCATCTTGTGTTGCATAAACGCACTTTACTTTAATCTTATTAACAGTCACACAAATGGCGAAACACATCAGCTCGTGTTTAAAGAGTGCAAACATTTCATTGCAAAATTACTGTATGATAAAGAACCATGATTGCATTCTTTAAACTGTATGTAATGTGCTTTCATTCACATTGACTTGAATGGAAACGCCTGCCTCAGATCCTCTGGAGTCATTCATTTCTTCATCGATTTCTTTTTTGTTGTTGATGTGTTGCTGTGGTTTGGGTTTTGTTCTTTTGTTCTGCAGTGTGTTTGATATTAATTCCTCACACCTTCTTCAGATTGTTCACCCAAAAAGGAAAACCATATTTTGTCTGTGGATCATAACATGAGATGTTTAGCAGAATGTTCACGCTGCTCTTTTCTGTACAGTGGAAGTGAATGGGGTCCAACACTGTCAAGATCTAACCTCCTGTCTAAATGACATGAAAGTACCATCAAATTATTATAAAAATAGTCCATGTGACTCGTATTGCTATATTTCAAGTCTTCAGAAGTCACATGACAGCTTTGTCTCAGATCTCCGGGTCACTGTATGGAAAAGAGCAGCCCGTTTATTCTCTAATATGTCTTCTTTATTCTCCCTGAAAAAGTCATACAGGTTAAGATCACAAAATTGTCATGTTTGGATGAAATATTCCTTTTAGGAATTTCTTGTAAATTATATATTTAAGTCAAAGGGTGTTTCACGTCTAAATTAAAATGCCTCAAATTCTTCAATCTGTCAGTCTTTTGTGGCGAGGGAAGGACACACACACCCTGTCAGACAGGTCAGGTGACCTGCTTAACCATGTGACGCAGTAATATCACTATTTTAAAGGAATATATCTTCAAAAATGAACATTTTGTCATCATTTACTCACCCTTGTGTTGTTCCAACCCTGTATTATTTAATTTTGTCCGAGTTTTCAGACAGAATGTCATCATGTGATTAAAGTGGGTTGTGATTTACACTGTCGAACACCATAATAATTCATACGACGACTCCTGGAGTCATGTGATCGATTAACCAGTTATTCAGATGAATGGAATATGAGCTTTTATGATGGTGCGTTTAATTAGTGGTGCACTGAAATTTTATTATATATTTTTTTTGTTTGAATAATAAACCTCTATTGTGCAGCACTTTGCTAAAATATTAAAGGAATTGTTCAAATTTCATTTAATTTACATTTAGAAAATATTAATTAAATTGTTAATATTTTTGTGGCTAGAAAAGTTAAAACCGGAAACACAAAGTTTCTGAAAAATAAAACATTTCATAGGACCATGTTATATTAAAAATGATTAAATTGTAAAATATTATTAATTACATTTTTGATTATTAAAATGTAATTAAACCATTCAAATTTAATCTAGAAAAAAATGTATGGAAAACATGGGATATACGGGGGGGAAATCAAAAAATTAAAAAATAGAATTTGGGGGGAAAATTCTAAAAAAAAAATAAAGATTTCATATGGCCATATAAAGTTAATTTAATTGTTTTTTTCTTTTTTCTTTTAATGAATAGTTGTTAAATTGTACGTTTTAATTAGACATGCTTTAACATTTAATTTAACCATTAAAATAGACTAATAAAACATAAAATGGAATAAAATGGAATAGAGAGAAATTAAAACGGAGATAAAATAAAACTGAATTTGTGAAAAACTTCAGTACATTTTTCGGCTGAAAACTATAACCGTTTTAATTTACTGGTAAAACTTTACAATACGATTCCATTTGTTAAGATCTACAATAATTAACATGAACTAACAAACCTTACAAAACTTTAATTTCGGTTCCTGAGATTTGGTAAAAAAATTATAATTTCGGTGCATCACTACATTTTAATGTTGCTTTTTGGTTTTCCTTTCGGATCATGGCAGTAAAAATCACCACTTTAACCGTTTAGCAGAAGTAACTCATTTAGAAAATAATACTTGGTTGGAATGTGTGCGTGAACGCTTGGTTTGAGACGTTGAGATGAACCCCGAGCCGAGTTGATGTGTGTGTGTGTGTGTGTGTGCAGGCGTTGGAGCAGAAAGAGGAGGTTCTCCTTGATCTGGAGGCGCAGGTGGAGCGTTTGCGCAGCGAACAGGAGCGACTGAAGAGGAGCCGCGAGGAGGAGGTGGAGCAGCTCAACGCCGTCATCGAGACGCTCCAGCAGGAGCTGTCGCACATCGAGCGCAAGGACGAGCCCAGAGACGAGAGCCACGAGATGAAGCAGAAGATGGATGAAGTCGCGACCGAGCTCGACACGCTGAAATCCGAACACGGCTCGCTCCGTAGCAAATACGAGCGTCTGCGCGAGGAGACACTAGTGGAGCTGGAGGCGGCGCTGAGGGAGAAGACGGCGGCGTTCGTGGTGGTCCAGGCGCAGGTGCAGGCGCTGGAGGAGAGCGCCGGGTCACGGCTGAGGGGTTTGAGCCGGCGAGTGGAGGAGCTGGAGGCGGCGCTGGAGGACAAGGACTCGGAGCTGCGCGCTTGCATGCTAAACGTGGAGCTAGCGCAAACGGACGCCGGCACTCTTCACGTCAAAGTCGCCGATCTAGAGGACAAACTCAGGGAGAAAGTGGCCGCCGTTCTGGTCAGTCAAGCTCAACTAGGAGCCGTACAGACGCAAACCAAAGATCTGAGAGGCGACGCCCCCGCTGGAGAAAAGCCGAAAGGCGCCGGAGCGGCGACACACGGGCCGGTCCTGCTGACGGAGAGGCTGAGGGAGCTGGAGGAGGGGCTGAGCCTCATGCAGAAGGACCAGGAGCTGCAGAAACACATGCTGAGCAGCTCCGAGGACGAGGTGATGGAGTACGAGAGGAGGTTAGCCGTGATGATGGACATCCTGAACCAGATGAGAACCAAACCGACCTATCACAGGCCGCTGATCGCTGAGGTGCGTCACTCACCTTCTACATCTCACACATCAGCACAGTTTATTCGCTATAGTTTAGACAATGGTGATAAATATGAGCAGAACTCAGAGTTCTCAGATCAGTGGATATTTGACTGGTTTTGTCCGTCCTTCTGTTAGACTCTCACACATGAATTATGTTGAATATCTGTCAGCTGTTAAATTTAACTACACAATTAGATAATACCAGTTTAGCTCAACCAGTGACCAAGCAATGCTTCATGTTGTTCAGTGTGTGTGTAAAAAGAGCATTAGCAATTACAGAAAACACACTTCAGCAAAACATCATCAGCTCAAAGTGGAGGAATCATTTTTGGTCTCAAATGTGTATACATGTTACTGGCAGTCACTGTATGAAGAGTTTTGGGTGTAATATGCCACAGTTTACTTTATTATGCTAATGAGGTGCGTCATCACTATATTAAGATGTAGTTCAAACAGTCGCTCGCTATGATAAAGTTATGCGTTTGATTTTCAGGGAAAGCATGAACTGGAGAAATGTGTTCCTTCAATGCAAATGCGAGTCGCTTTTCAAATTTGTGATTATACATCAATATGACCATAAATAACAATTGTTATTATTTTCATTATTGTTGTTATGATTATTATCATTACTGTAACACTTATCAATAGTTTCATTTGTTAGCATTAGTTAACTACATTAGTTAACATGAATTAACAACGAACAATACTTCTACAGCCTTTATTAATCTTAATGTTGATGTCATTTTTAAGATCGAGAGTTGTATTGGTTAACATTAGTTAAAGCACTGTGAACTAACATGAACCATTTTATTAACATTAACAAAGGTTAATTAATAATGCAGTAAAAATATTGCTCATAGTTAGTTCTTGGTAGCTCATGCATTAGCTAATGTTAACAAATGAGACATTATTGTAAAGTGTTACCATTATTACTAAATAAATATTAAAATAATTAATATTACGAATTGTAATATTTCACTGTAAAATAAACAAATGTAGGAAAGTATATTTATATTTATAAATAATATATATTTAAGTGTAAAATTACAATATTAATATTTATTTCTTACTTTTTTGTTTATATCATCTTAATTTCTTAATTTTCAAATGTTAAACTATAGTGCTTTTATTTTAAATCTTTTGTTGACCACAGCCTTTTTATTTTTTCATTACAAGATTGAGATGTTTGGCGCATGTTTCGTTATAAGCAACTCAAACTCTGAAAAAACAACTGAGAACAGCTTGTGTAAATGAACACCGTGCCGCTCTTCTCTCTGAAACATGCAGCGCAAATATTTACTGAATTAAATCTCAGCCTGTGATTTTACTGAGAATATCACGATTTCGGTTTTATTGCGATTATTGTGCAGCTCTACTAATAACACTAGTGTGTGCCGTCACCTCATGAGAGTCTGTCACACACAGGAGTCGGGCGAGGACAGTCGGCTGCTGTCACAGCTGCTGCAGGAGGTCAAAGGTCAAGCCGCGTCCACTAAAGAGGAGCTGACCTGCTACAGGGAACTGAGCCACAAGCTTCAGGAGGAGATGGAGGTACAAACGCCAAATCCTGCGAGAAATGATTCTCCTGCTGTAATTATCTCATGATATTAGGGCTCGTTTTCTAAAAGATTGATCGAAATTAAAAAAGGGGTCAGAAAATGGGGCCAATGGAGTCAGAAAAATAATCCTCATTCAAAGGGAGAGGAAGATTATTTTTCTGTTTACAAAGGGATAGTTCACCCAAAAATGAAAATTACCCCATGATTTACTCGCCCTCAAGACATCTTAGGTGTATATGACATTAAAAGTGCATCTATCCATGATAAAAGTGCATCTGTCCATCATAAAAGTGCATCTATCCATCATAAAAGTGCATCTGTCCATCATAAAAGTGCATCTATCCATCATAAAAGTGCATCTATCCATCATAAAAGTGCATCTATCCATCATAAAAGTGCATCTGTCCATCATAAAAGTGCATCTATCCATCATAAAAGTGCATCTGTCCATCATAAAAGTGCATCTGTCCATCATAAAAGTGCATCTGTCCATCATAAAAAGTGCATCTATCCATCATAAAAGTGCATCTGTCCATCATAAAAGTGCATCTGTCCATCATAAAAGTGCATCTGTTCATCATAAAAGTGCATCTGTCCATCATAAAAGTGCATCTATCCATCATAAAAGTGCATCTATCCATCATAAAAGTACATCTGTCCATCATAAAAGTGCATCTATCCATCATAAAAGTGCATCTATCCATCATAAAAGTACATCTGTCCATCATAAAAGTGCATCTATCCATCATAAAAGTGCATCTATCCATCATAAAAGTGCATCTGTCCATCATAAAAGTACATCTGTCCATCATAAAAGTGCATCTATCCATCATAAAAGTGCATCTATCCATCATAAAAGTGCATCTATCCATCATAAAAGTGCATCTATCCATCATAAAAGTGCATCTATTCATCATAAAAGTGCATCTGTCCATCATAAAAGTGCATCTGTCCATCATAAAAGTGCATCTATCCATCATAAAAGTGCATCTATCCATCATAAAAGTGCATCTATCCATCATAAAAGTGCATCTATCCATCATAAAAGTGCATCTATCCATCATAAAAGTGCATCTACAGTAGGTACTCAACCAGAATGCCTATTACCGCCGCGACTCGTTTATTAAAAATAAACTAGTCGCATTTCAAAGTCCTTCGCGAAATGACCGCCAGGTGGCGCAAAGGGGCATTTAGCAAAACAGCCGCAATTGCCGCATTTTGAAACGGGCTAATGTCAATTAACAGTAAGATGAAATAGTTGAGACTGATTGAATATGTAAAAAATAAAATTAAAATAAACAAACGAAAGAGAATAGAACAAACCATTAGAACAAAAAAATAATAAAAATATAAATAGTTTAACCTATAGGCTAACAGATTCAGTTAAATTAAACGAAAGCAAAACGTAAAGTAAAAGTAGGCTACATTTAAACAGAATATAACAAACTTTTAGAGCAGAACATTTTATGAATCAAAAGTTAAAATAGGCCTCTCTCGCAATTAGGTGCAATGACGCTAAACTATTGAGGAATGAGAGGATTGAAGAGCGCTTCTCTCGTGTGCGCGCACTGACTGCTGAAATACCGAACTTCTGGGAAATTTTCAGTGAGAAAAGTTGTGGTCGAGTGGTAGAACTTAGGTTTCAATAATTTAGATGACACGGGTTCAAATCCTGTCCAAACAGGGTAGCCAATTTATAAAATACAATTCCATGCATTTCCATTTTACACAAAGGAACAAATATTATCCAACAGATTGACTGAATTTATATCAATCTGTATAATAATTCCAATCGTAATTTCAAAAGCAGTTCTGTTAAAAAAAAACAACAAAAAAAAAAACTTCATGGGGTTCCATAGGCTACGTTTTTAAAAACATTGTGTAACAAGGTGCTATGCTGGGGGATTTCCCCCCAGTAATCAATGCTTTGCCTAATTCACCAATAGACCATATCAAATATATATATATATATATATATTTAAAATATGCAACACGCACGTTTAAACAACAAACAATAAAATCTGAACCGGCGCTTCTGCTCCTGTATTGAGAGATAACATGCAGCGCGTTTCAGTTACGATCCTGGTTCCAGCGGCCTTAATACATTCATGGCTTTTCAAAATGTCACAAAGCGTTTTGAGATGTTTTTTTTTAATGAAATATTGAAGTTTATAATTAAGTGTTTTGGCACATCACGCCGAGTGGCGCTACGCATTATTCTAAAGTCGGGTTTTATTCTGGCATGTTGAAATAGAGTTCAACAAACACGGCGGCGCTTTCACTTGAATTTATTTTTTCTCATAACAGCTAAAAGAACTTTCTAGGATAGAAGCTATCCTACTCCGTAATTTTTGGTCATACAGATAAAATATCATCTTTTAAAACAGTAAAAGGTCTACAATATGCTAACGATAAAACGTTTTCTCGCTCATGTGAGCGAACACACTGGAGAAACAAACGTTTGGGCATTTCACAGTGAGTAAATGCATGGCCGAGTGGAAGAACTTACGATTCAATCATTTAGATGACACGGGTTCAAATCCCGCACAAACATGGACTTTTGCCAATTTTATATTAGCCTATTAATGCATTTTATATCCTATTATTAATGCAGAGAGATTTGTCTAGTTCTAAAACTCTGTTATGCACCATGTAGGCCTAGTTTTTGCTTATATTATAAAATAAAATTGCCATGCATTTCCATTTTACACTGGAACAAATAGTATCCAACAGAATGACTTAACATCTAATACCAATCGTAATTTCAAAAGCAGTTCTGTAAAAAAAAAAAATATATATACATATATATATATATATATTTCTATATGTATATAGCCCATAGGCCTATATAGCCTATTTTTTGGATTCCCTACATTGAGTTTTTATTTAAGCAAGGTGCGATTTGCCAGGGGGGACGGGGATTTCCTTCTGGTCTAAACATCCCTGCTTCTGCTGAATTATTTTAACCCCCCACCCCCTTCCTCCGCAGTAATCAGTGCTAATAGGCTTAGGCTACTTCACCAATAGACCATATAAAATATATAAAATAAAGATATGCAACAGGCACGTTTAAACGACAAACAATAAAATCAAAACCAGCGTTTCAGTTACAGTAGCCTACGTTCGTGGTTCCAGTGGCCTTAATGTAGGCCCTATGCACGGCTTTTCAAAATGTCACAAAGCGTTTTGAGATTATTTTGAATGAAATATTGAAGTTTATAATTAAGTGTTTTGGCACATCACGTCGAGTGTCGCTATTGTTCTAAAGTCGGGTTTTATTCTGGCATGTTGAATTAGTGTTCGACAAACGCGGCGGCGCGTTCACTTGGATTTATTTTTCTCATAACAGCTAAAATAACTTAATAGGCTACTAGTAAACTTTTATTCATATTAGGCTAACAACATTTTTGCTGTCGTCTCTGTCTCCGGGAACTGCTCGTCACAAAACTGAACCGAAAGCCGAGGATCTACTTAAACATGTTTAACTATGTGAGCGCTTAGAAATGAGGAAAGGACAAGGCAAGGGGAAAATCTCGCTCTAATTAAATAGGCTAAATCGCCCTGAATTAAAATGTAAAAACAAATCAAATAATTTATTTGTCGAAATGTTGCGCTATTGTTTCATTTAAGTTCATAATTATTCTATAAATGTTATTTAGTTTAACAGCAGCACAACGAAGCACTGTGGTTCGAGATTTATTTGAATAAAAAAGAAAAACTTATTGAAATTGAATGAATTATTGAAATTAAATATTTAGTAATAAAGTTTCATGACAGAAATATCACTACATGTAGCTCATATTATTTAATTCCTTCATTATCAACACTTTAATAGCCTAATGCTAATGTCTAATAGCGGTTTAAGTGTGAATTGCGACTTCTTGTTTTAAGTCAGTCTCGGATTCAGAGAGCCTGTGGGGGTTTGGAGGGACAGTGGCTTTATCGTGCGTGCACAATAGGTGTTAATGTTCCTCTTTCATATGGAGATGTGGATAGCCAGCCCAATGAGCAGGCAAAGGCTAAATTCTTTTAAGGATAAATCTCTCGATGTGTCCAAATGTAGGCCCTATATCTTATTTAATTATAAATATAGTGTATTTTTTGTATTTAAAGTTTTTCACACAAAATTTAAATTAAAGTGTTCAATCCAGTTGTTTCAACTGTTTTTATAAAGTTTTAGAATGTTTGAAGCAGTGTGTATGATTGTCAACAATCTGGCATTATCTAAACATTAACTGTTGACGAAACGAAGCAGATAAAGAGCTCTTTAATTCAACCTCGTTTTATTGTAAGTGAATACAACAAGGCATGCTGTGTCTTTGAAGCAACAAAGGCAAAATAATTTGTTACTGTTTTTTTTTTTTTTTTTTTTTTTTGTAGGGAGACAAAATAAACTTTGCTAAAAAGAGATCCAGCGCAAGAGAGAGGCAAAGAAAAACACATGTTCTTAATTTATGTCGTTTTGTTCGTTTTGTACTGTTTTAATTGTTTAATTAAGCTGCAATTTCTTTGGCAATACAAATTTAAAATATTGCAAGAATAAGATTCTGTGTTTCTTATTTTGCATCGCAAAGGAAATAAACTCTAAACTCAATGCAACCAGCTGTTTTAAACAAATAAACTGTCCCACTTTATTTAAACCTTAAAAATGTGCGATGGTTTCATACTTAATTAATTTTAGTGTTCTTTTACATTTTCATTTGTTTTTATATTAAAAGCAATACTATTTAGTTAGTCTGTTATTTTGTGTAGCCAAGTCAACAAAATCAGTCTTTTCTGATTTGTTCAATTTATGGATCTGTTTTGAAAAATTTCTTCCGTTGCTATGGCCGGGTATCACTGTCTATCACCTCAATTTCGTGAATGATTCACAAAACAATAATTTAGCAGATTAAAGACAAGCTTCATTATTTTCATTTTCTGACGCGATCAGCTAATCTTCTCTCATCAGTTTTGTCGTGCAGCGGCTCTACTGGAATGTAGCAAATTTATGTTGTAATTTGCCATTGATAATTTAAACAAAACTCTTGACTTTACATAAGTAAACAGTTAATGAACTCAACTCGCTAATAAACAGTTACCTATTTAAGCATCAAGAACGGTAAAACATAAACGAATTCGGCCAACAGCAAATTGGCTCCATCGAGATTCGATCTCAGATCGTTTGAAGTGTAGTGAGGCTCAAGTTGTTGCGTTAACCGCTGAGCTATCATCTGAACGCTGTTAAACAGTGTATTATGCTCTTCCAAACCCTCATTGATAGCCTAATATGTTTCGGTTGCAATGTTTTATGTTGAAATGTTTTCACTATTTATTCAATTTAATTTCAGTAGGCCTATTGTGATTATGAATTCGTTTAACTACAAGTTTCACTTGAAATCATCTGTTACCAGCTTACAATCGCTCTGAATGAGCAGCGGCTCTGCGGCAGATTATGCAATAGAGAGAATAAACTGACACTTTTCAAAGTCTGTAATTGTAGCGCCTCTTAGCGGTAAAAGGCAACAAATACACACCAGAATTTTACCGCCGCGGGAGCGGCGGCGGTAAAAGTATTATTCTGGTTGAGTACCCACTGTATCCATCATAAAAGTGCATCTGTCCATCATAAAAGTGCATTTTTTTAATATAACTCTGATTGTGTTCGTCTGAGAGAAGAATGTCATATACACCTAGGATGGCTTGAGGGCGAGTAAATCATGGGCTAATTTTAATTTTTGCGTGAACTATCCCTTTAAGAATAAACTCGCTTCATTTTAAAACAGACGAAATGTGTGTTTGAACACTGCTGTTTGGTGTTAACTGTGTGCTGTTTCTTCCTCAGATGAAGGAGAGCACGATCACGCAGCTCCAGACGGCTCTCAGCCAGGTAGAGTCAAACACACTCGGTTTAGTTATTTATATTTTTCTCTTGTTTCTTACAGTGAATACAGCTGTAGCAAACAAACGCCAGGGCACATTACATCGGCTCAGCGCTAAACCTTCACTTCTTCTGCAGGTCCAAGCGGGCTCGCGTGACGAAGACGTCGCCAAGACGGCGAAACTTCTCCAGGAGCTGCAGGAGGTCAGAGGTCAAGCGTCCGCCACACAACAGGAGCTGCAGGAGGTCAGAGGTCAAGCGTCCGCCGCACGACAGGAGCTGCAGGAGGTCAGAGGTCAAGCGTCCGCCGCACGACAGGAGCTGCACAGCTTCAGGGAGCAGAGCGTTCGGCTGCAGGAGCTGCTCCAGGTATCCCATGGTTTCCCTGTTTTCAGACGGATCTCGGCTCATTCCTGAGTTTGTGGCTCATTATTCCTGTTCTTTCTTTGTGCAGGAGAGAGAAATGAGCATCGCTCTACTCAAGGATCAGCTCCACAGGGTGAGACTCTCTCGGTCCGCACACTGCCTGATGGCACGTCACCGAGGCTCTTTGACCTTTAACCTTTGATTGGTTTCTCTGCAGGCCTCACGAGAGGGAGATCGGTCCACAGATGAGCTGCTGCAGGAGCTGCAGGAGGTCAAAGGTCAAGCGGCGGACACACTACAGGAGCTGCAGGAGGTCAAAGGTCAAGCGGCCGCCACTAAAGAGCAGCTGAGCAGCTTCAGGGAACGCAGTCTGAAACTGCAGGAAGAGATCGAGGTACTCGAATGGAAAAATATTGTAAATTATCAAAATGTGAAACGATAATCTGATCTTTCACACAAAAAAATCCATTTAACATGTAAAGCAACGATAAAAAACCCCAAAGGTTCAGGTTCTGGAAGTGTCTTTTAATTTAGTTAAATTTATACTTAAAAATGTAAGATCACAGTTTGAAAATCTCTCATCGACATACATTTTTTTTTTTTTTTTAATGATTTATTTATTTTAATTTTACATTTTAGTGTTTTATTAATTTTTACTAGGAGTTTATTTCTATAAAAAATATTTTAATAGGACATTTTCATGATTTAATACATTTTTAGTAAGTGTTTTATTTTGATTTTCTATTTTTGTTTATTTTATTTTAATATACGTTTATGATTTAATAAATTTTAGCAAGTATTTTATTTAGATTTCTTAATCATTTACTTATTTTAATTGCACATTCTTAATATTTTACTAATTTTTTTCATGTTTTAATTCCCTTTTTAAATTGTTACTTTTTTGATTGAATACATTTTTAGTGTTTTATTTTTATTTTTGTTTATTTTATTTTACATTTTATTTGATTTTTTTGATTTTTTTTTCTTCTTATTTTAATTGTACATTCTTATCATTTTATAATTTAAAAAAGTTAATTTTATTTAATTCTAATTTTACATTTGTATGATTTAATGATTTAGCTAGTGTTTTATTTAGATTTTTTATTTTAAAATTATTTATTCATTTTAATTTGACAAAATGATGCCAGATGTTCTTTTACACAGAACTAAAGGCTGAAACCTGAACTTTACTCCAGATCGATCATAGAAATAACAGATATATGGTGATAAGTCGCGCTCTTCGTGTCTCTCTCAGGTCAGAGACGTGTCCATTGCTGAGCTGAGGGTCAAAGTTCACGAGCTGCAGATCGCTTTGACCAGATCTGAGGAGCCTCCGCAACAGCCGCAGTCTCAGCCTAAAACGAAAGCAGGGAAAAACGGAGACAACAGAGAGCATCATGGGATAAACAAAAGTGCTGACGCAAGTAAAGACACGCCCTCCCTTCCCCACCGAACCTCCACGGACCAATCCGAGAGCTCGCCTCAGTCGCGTGTGAACGCGAGCACGCAGAGCGACCCGAGCAGAGCCGAGGACGTGCAGGAGCTGATCTCGGGCTTCTCGGAGAAGATCGGGCAGATGCGGGAGCTCCACGCAGCCGAGATCATGGACATGGAGGCCCGGCACATCTCCGAGAGCGAGAGCTTGAAGAGGGAGAACCGGCAGCTGGAGCTCGAGAGCCGAGCGCTGAGAGACGCCATCGACAAGCTCACGGCCGCCGAGGTCACACACACACCTTCACATGTGAGCCAGGGCCACACAACCAGTCACAACACAACCAGTCACACACACACCTTCACATGTGAGCCTGGGCCACACAACCAGTCACAACACAACCAGTCACAACACAACCTGTCACACACACACCTTCACATGTGAGCCTCGGCCACACAACCAGTCACACACACACCTTCACATGTGAGCCTCGGCCACACAACCAGTCACAAGGGGCAATTTTCGGAAATTGAGATTAGCCAATCAAATAGAAACATATAATCAACACTAAAAATATTGTACTTAAATATTTCAATTATCATTATCACCTTTTTAAGTGTATATTTATGTTTCTACTCCTGTTTGTTGTTGAAATATAAATATACAGTATAAAGGTTGTCTGTATTAAAAACTAGTTTTCATGATAGTCTTATTCAAACAAACATTAAATGATAAAGAGCAGGTTAAGTAAAAATATAATGAATATGTAATATAATGCATATATTAATCAAAATGCTCCTCTCTAGAGTTATTGTTCTAACTTACTATCGAGTTTACGGTCACTGAATAGCTTTCCTGAAAAAAAAATATAAAAAAAAAAACGTATTGAGGATGTTATTACATCTTGATCAGGGATTATGAAAATAGTGATTTTATTCATTTTAAATAACATGCACTGATGAATCATTCACAATAAAACATACATTTTTAAGGGGGAAAAGAATCCGTTTTTAAACGTCACCTATAAATGAAGATAGATGTGTGCCTCTGTTGTGGATAGTGTGTAATATCAGGTGATGTGTTTGCAGGGTCCCCCGGTGAGGTCCGAGCGCCCCGCCGCCTCTCCGCTTAAGGACGGATACGCCAGCGGTGAGATGTGCATCTGTGCTCTTCATCAGAAGTGTGGAATTATAAAGATTATTTAATGTTTCTGGAAGAGTCTCGTTTAATTGATAAAAAATACAGTAAAACAGTGAAATATGACTCCAGTGTAAATCAGCTGTTCTCTATGTGAATATACAGTAAAGTGTAATTTATTCCTGTGATCAAAGCTGAATTTTCAGCATCATTACTCCAGTCTTCAGTGTCACATGATCCTTCAGAAATCACTCTAATATGAGGATCTGATGCTCAAGACACATTTATGATTATTATATCAGTGTTGGAAACTGAATTCTCAGGATTCATTGATGATTAGAAAGCATTAGAACAGCATTTATTTGAGTTAGAATCTTTTGTAACATCTTTACTGTCACTTTCTGATCAGTTTAATGTGTCTTTGCTGAAAAGAAGTATAACTTTCATTCATTTGGTCATAATCAATTTCCTAAATATGTGTGTGTGTGTGTGTGTGTGTGTAACAGACAGCAGTTCAGACTGGAGCCAGCGCACAGGTTTGGATCACCCTCACCTGCAGGAGAACAGGAGCACACCTGAGGGCGCGCGCCGGGACCCGGAGCCGGACCTCCTGCCAGACCGGGTCAAGGTGAGCTTTCCCGGATCCGGATATAATATAACACCGAGCTGAACCGTGACCCGTGATCCTCACAGGGTTCGTACAGGGTGCTTGAAGTTCTTGAATTTGACTTATTTTTAAATTGAAGTCCTGGAAAACCCTTGAAAATTTAAATAAGAGTTTTATTTTTTCGAAAAAGCAAATATAATCTTCTCACGCTATGTTAACACTGCTGCCCGTCTGATAAACACCCTATCCTACCGCTCCTGGATATGAAGTATGCTAACGTTATAATCAGGGTTCCCACGGGTCCTCGAAATCCTTGAAAGTTTGTGAATCTAAAAAATTTTTTTTTTTTAAGGACCTTGAAAATAAACACACACAGATCCTGTATCTCCTTGAAAGTGCTTGAATTTATTTTGTGAAAGAAGTTTTCAGGAAAAAATTCCAGATTATTCCCTCCGCCCCGCTAACGTGTTATCCCGCCAGCACTGTGTGGGCTATGCGCACTAGCTTGATTGATTTACGCTAGTTACGCGCATTTATCCGTTACGTTAAGTGTTTCCCGCGTGAGGTACTTTGTGTTGTACGTTGCCGTTCACTCGCGCAAAACTGTATCAATGTATCTTACAACACGATGTAACCTTGATCTCACTTGAAACGTGTCCTCAGATTAAGTTCTTGAATTTGAGGGTTTTGGACCTGGAAAGGGAACCCTGTATAATATAAAATATTATTTATTGAACAATAATAGCCATTATAAACTCTGTATTTAATATATATTCTTAAATATGTGGCAAGTTGTATTTTGGATTCCGAATATCTGTCATTTGAGTAAAAATATCCACTGCCATTATAAAGCTTGGAAGAGCCAGGACATGTTTAATATAACTCTATATAATATAGGGAGAGTAAATCATGGGCTAATTTTCATTTTTGGGTGAACTATCCCTTTAAAAAATAAAGATATTGTTTTCAAAACAGTGCGATCTCTGATTATAGTCCTTGGAAACCATAAAAGCAGAGATTTAAAAGTCCGTGACAGCCGTTCAGTGTGTGTGTGTGACCCCTGACCCCTGTCGTCTCAGAGTCTGCTGCGCGAGGTCCATCGGGAGGGCATGCAGGTGCTGTCGCTGTCCGAGCTGCCGATGTGTGGAGCGGATCGCCCCGCTGCGCTGCAGGCCTGGAGCAGCGAGAGAGACGCCCTCACACACACCGTCGACTCGCTGCAGCTCCTCATCAGCAGACTGCAGTCGCACACACAGGTGAGCAGCAGCGCACTTCACACACACTCGCGGTTGTGTTATAACAATTCTTATCGATTTCCTAATTTTAATTTCAACAAGGTAAGAAAAACACATGGATATCATTCAAGTTTCAAGTTTCAAGATTTATTTGTCACATACACAGTTATACAGAATACAACCTGTAGTGAAATGTAAAATAGGGTCCACTCCAAAATAGTGCAATATTATAAAAGAATTTAGTCTTGTTGTAAAACATGTATTTGTGTCTGAATATCATGAGCTAATCATCAGCTAAAGAACACTTACACAAGCAGCGTTTGCCTGCGGTTTAAACACAACTAGCCGAACTAATATACACTTCAAGCGTTATTAAAGACAATAAACACTCAGCAATTAAAAAAAGAACAAATAAAAAATTAGCAATCGCAGCAAATAGACACAACTGAACAAAGATACGATTGAAACAAACAGTGTTTAAAGATTTTCAGGTACAGAAACTGTAATCAAATGTAAAATATCAGCAGTTTATTAATGAAATATACATTACAAATATAGTAATAAAAGTTATTCAGTCAAAGACTAGTGAATTTTCGTGTGATTAGTGTTATTATAGAGACGGCAGAGGAATATTAGGCTTCTGTCACTTTAAGAGCTGCACTGATCCCGTATACTGACACACACACCTGAAAACAGCGAGTCTCGCGCTTGAATGCTTTATCATATTGAAATGCTCACAAAGGAATCGATAGGTAGAATCGAAATTTTTATTTAATAACAAGTATCGGCTTCCTGACCTCAAGTACTCGATTCCAGAACTGGAATTGATTTTCGATTCCCAACCCTAGTGCATCTGCATTTTAGAATGATCCATGTTTTGTTTAGCATCATGCTTGAGCTCTTGAACTAGTTCAGATGTTGAAGTGTGTGTGTGTGTGTGTGTGCAGGTCGACGGCGACTGGCGAGCGGAGCTGCTGTCCGCCGTTCAGCAGGTGTTTGTTCACGAGCGAGACGCGCTGAAGAGTGTTTTATACTCTCAGCTGGAGCGACTGGACACCGCTGACGCCGTCGTTCATCTCAACCAGCTGGAGAGAGCGCTAGCGGAGCAGGTTAGCATACGCCGCCGTTAGCATACACCAGCGCCACTCCTCGTCACAGGGCGGCTGTGTGTGGGATGGACATGCGTTGGGTCTCTTTGAGGGTCTCTGATTTACTGCATTCATCACTTACTCAAGTTGTGTGTTACTGTATATGATAGAGCAAGAGTTAATATTAATAACAGGGTTATTATGGTTAACAAACTAAAACTATTTTAAAAAAATTACTTAAAATATAATATAAAAAAACTTTTTTTTTGTTTTGAGCTAAATATATATATATATATATATATATATATAAATATATTGTAACGTTGTATATATATAATATATATTGATGATGTATTATAATATATATTATATGTAAATAATACATTTGATATTTATATTATAATTATATTTATATTATACTTATATTTTATATTTATATCTATATAAACCATAAAATATATAAACTATATATATATATATATATATATAATGTTATTGATAATTATATAATATATTAGAATTATATTTATATTTATTATATGTAATACATTTTATATATGTATATAATGTATTATATATATATTATAATTATATTTTATATATATTATATCTTAAAATAAATGTTATGAGAATTTTTTTTTTTTTTTTGGCTTGTTGCCAAGGCTAAAACAACTAAAACTAAAATAAAAATTAATAAAAACTATATATACACATTAAAAACTTAACAAAATTACAAACATTTTAACCAAAATAAAAAACAAATATATATAAAATTTTAAACTAATTGAAAATATACATAAACACTATAACAGTATATTAATGATACTCAAATAACACTAGTTATTTTGTCTGTTGTTTTAGATTCGTACCTAACTAGTTTAAATGTTTTACTGCAATAATTACAAAACATTTTGCACTTTATTTACAGCTGTGTTTAGCATTTTCAATTTCCTGTCGTGTCAAGTTGAAATGTTTGATGTAGTGTTTTAAATTGTATGGATTGTTTGCCATGAAAATAGTCCCAATACTTATCAACAAACAAACAAACAGCTGTAATTAACTCACACTGAGATGGGTGTTGATCCGGTATAAACTCAACGCAACTTTATTTCTAGAGCACTTTCAAAAACCACAATGGGTGCCAACGTGCTGTACATAAAAATAACACCACTTTATTTCAAGCTAAGGAAGATCAGTCAGTTTTAGCCCCTCTGAGATGGCCTAGAGTAGGAGATGTTTAACCTGCTGACCTGACGGTGTGTGTTGTGCGCAGGACGCCCGGCACAGCGAAGGCATGTGTGTGTTGAGCTCGGCGGACAGAAGCAGCCTGCGCTCGGAGATCCAGCAGCTCAGAGATCAGCTGCACACACTCACGTCTGCACACACACAGCGCCACCATGTGGACACTACCGGTACGGCACACACTGACTCTGTGCAGTGAGTGGTTCTCGGATGGTTCAGTGATGAAGATTAGCTTCAGCTTCACTTCATAGAGGTTTTCTCCTGTGTTGATCAGGAGCGGCGAGCGTGAGGGAGGCAGAACCGGCGCTGGTCGGGACATCGGTCGGGTCCGATCCACTGGAGGAGATCAAGACTGAACTGAGCCAGACTAAACTAGAGCTAGAGAGCGCTTTAAAAGCACAACACAAACACCTAAAAGAGCTCGACACACTCAGGTAACACACACACACACACACACACACACACATATAATATTATTATTTGTAGTTTGCATTTTTTTATATATATATATACACTACCGTTCAAAAGTTTGGGGTTGGTACGATTTTAAATACTTTTAAAATAATTATCTTCTGCTAACCATGGCTGCGCTTATTTGATTAAAAATACAACAAAAATCAGTTATAGTATTAAATATTACTCCAGTGTAAATCAGCTGTTTTCTGTGTGAATAGATAGTAAAGTGTAATTTATTCCTGTGATCAAAGCTGAATTTTCAGCATCACCAGTGTCAGGGTCTTCAGTGTCACATGACCCTTCACAAATCAGTATAATATGAGGATGATTTGATGCTCAAGAAACATTTATTATTATTATCAATGTTGAAACAGTTGTTGGTCTGTCAGTTGTACAGTTTTTTTTTTTTTTTTTTTTTAGGATTCTTTGATGAATAGAAAGTTCAAAAGACTTTTGTAACATTATAAATGTCTTTACTGTCACTTTCGATCAAATTAATTATTCCTTGATAAATAAAAGTATTGATTTCTTTCCTCCAAAAAATAAAAATAAAATTCTCACTGACCCCAAACTTTTGAACGGTAGTGTATATACATCATTATTTATATTTATATAAATGAGGAATATGTGTGTTTGTGCGTTTGTGCGTGTGTGTGTGTGTTTGTGCGCGCGTGTGTGTGTGTGTGTGTGTGTGACCCGTGTGCTCTGGCAGGGTGGAGGTCTCGCTGAAGGCCGCTGAGGTCGACACACTGAGCGACACACTGGCACACGAGCAGAAGAGAGCGAGAGAGATGCAGTGGGCGTACGAGAAGGAGAAGTGCAAGTCTGACCGGAAGCAGGAGAGCGAGAGAGAGGAGGTGGAGGTAAACAATCTGTCAATCACAGGGAGGGGCTCATTGATATCCAACCGTCTCCATTGAGTTTGTATTGAGTGAAGCTGCCTCGTCGTCATTTCTAACTTATAACAAGAAACAAAACAATGTCTAAAAGCTGCTATGTGATGGGGTGTACAGCAAACAAGCTAAAAAACCCAGAACTAAGTTTTTATAAGCTGTCGACCCCAAAAAAGCGAGCGTTTAAGGGCACAAAAGTGGATACAGGCAGTTGTCATATAACTCTGAGAACTGCACCTACTGGAGGGGAACGTAATCGGCGACTGACATTTGGATATTTTACTTGCCAGTGATAAAATGTTAACGGCACACGTAGTGTATTTTTAGTGCATACTGAGTGTCAGGATCCCACAATTTACCCATTCGACAGCTTATTAACACTAGTTCTGGGTTTTTTAGCTTGTTTGCTGTACACCCCGTCACATAGCAGCTTTTAGACATTGTTTTGCTTTTTGTTATAAGTCAGAAATGACATGGAGGCAGCTTCACGCAATAAAAAGTCAATGGAGACGGTTGGAACCCCCAGTGGGCGTGGCTTTCAGATTATGACACGTGTCGCTCTGTCTCTATGGCTTGTGTTGATGTGCTCATCGATGGCTTGTGTTGATGTGTTATTGGTCTCTGCAGGATCTGAAACTGGCTCTGGAAGATCAGCGAGGGCGTGTGGTCGAGCTGTCGATCGCCCTGGAGAGAGAGAGAGAGACTTCAGCTCGGCTCAGAGATCAGGAGCGGGAGGCCGGCGTCTCCTCAGAGCTGCAGGTGTGTGTCCGCTAGCACACGTAATGCTTGTGTTTGGGTCGAGGCAGGTCATTAGGGGCTCTCTCACCGGGGAGTTATAGGTGGCCAGTTCCCCGAGAACTAATGGTTCCCTTAGGAACGTTTTCCTGGTTGCATTCGCTCCGCCAGTAACTCTGAAGGTGTGTGTGTGTGTGTGTGTGTGTGTCTGTGTGTGTGTGCAGGTTCAGTTAGACGCTCAGAGAGCTCGGGCCGCAGAGATCAGCAGTGCTCTAGAGAAAGAGAAGGAGCTCAACGCACAACTGCTCCGGCGGGTCCACACGAGCTCCGCGTCAAACACACAGGATTCTGGGACACACACACTCGTGCAGGCCGAGGCCTCCTGCAGCCAGGTAACCAGAGGCGCCAAACATGTTTACTTCTCTAAATAAATACCGCAAGTAGTAGGGGTGAAACAAATCGCAGTTGAGGAATATTCAACTTTTTAACCGTGAATTTTGTGATGCGTTCCACCACTAGCAAGTAGTGAATGTGAGGTGTTGGTGTGCGCAGGTGGAGGCGGGCGTGCTCTCGGTGGAGTCTCTCCTGCAGGCGCAGCTGGTGGAGAAGCAGGCGCAGGTGGTGCAGATGATGGAGGAGCTGGAGAAGCACCAGCTGGACGTGGTGCAGCGCAAACGACAGTGGGACGAGGAGAGGTCTTCACTTCAGCAGGACCATAATGCACTGGGGCGGCGGGTGGAGGAGCTGCGGGCGGAGCTGAACGCGGAGAGAGACACCGTCAGGAGCCTCGAGGGAGAGAGACACCGACTGCAGGAGAGAGTGAGAGAGCTGGAGGGAGAGAGACACCGACTGCAGGAGAGAGTGAGAGAGCTGGAGGAGAAGCTAAGAGACGCTCGGCCTGCGGATCGAACCCGGGACTGGGTGTTGCAGCAGAAGACGACAGACGCTACGACACACACTGGTCAGAACCCAGAGCCCAAGCACACGGACCCCATCCTCAGCCGACTGCAGCTCATCGCCGCCAGGATCAACAGCTTGACCAGCGACACCCCGGGCAGGTACGACACCACGCATCAACTATCTGCTGCTCAAAGTTAGGGTTAGTGATGGCACAAAAGTATTGATACTTTAAAAAGTGATCAGACACCCTAGAAACGCCTTAGCAACTCAGAAAATGTACTACCTCTCCAAACACCCTATAAATGCCTTAACAACTCAATAAAATTGTATTACAACAGCTCTAAACACCCTAGCAATACCTTATAAACTCAACAAAAATGTACTACAACCAATCAAAGACACCCTAGCAACACCTTAGCAATTCAAAAAATTACTACCACTCCAAACACCCTAAAAACGCCTTAGCAACTCAATACAATTTTATTACAACCACTCTAAACACCCTAGCAATACCTTAGCAACTCAACAAAAATTTACTACAACCACTCAAAACACTCTATCAACACCTCAGCAACTCAAAAATGTACTACCACTCCAAACACCCTAGCAACGCCTTAGCAACTCAATAAATACAAACACCCTAGCAACACCATAGCAACTCAACAAAAATGTACTACAACCACTCAAAACACTCTATCAACACCTTAGCAACTCAAAAATGTACTACCACTCCAAACACCCTAGCAACACCTCAGCAACTCAATAAATACAACCACTTCAAACACCCTAGCAACACCTTAGCAACTCAACAAAAATGTACTACAACCACTCAAAATACTCTATCAACACCTCAGCAACTCAAAAATGTACTACCACTCCAAACACCCTAGCAACGCCTTAGCAACTCAATAAATACAAACACCCTAGCAACACCATAGCAACTCAACAAAAATGTACTACAACCATTTAAAACACTCTATCAACACCTTAGCAACTCAAAAATGTACTTCCACTCCAAACACCCTAGCAACGCCTTAGCAACTCAATAAATACAAACACCCTAGCAACACCATAGCAACTCAACAAAAATGTACTACAACCACTCAAAACACTCTATCAACACCTTAGCAACTCAAAAATGTACTACCACTCCAAACACCCTAGCAACACCTCAGCAACTCAATAAATACAACCACTTCAAACACCCTAGCAACACCTTAGCAACTCAACAAAAATGTACTACAACCACTCAAAACACTCTATCAACACCTCAGCAACTCAAAAATGTACTACCACTCCAAACACCCTAGCAACGCCTTAGCAACTCAATAAATACAAACACCCTAGCAACACCATAGCAACTCAACAAAAATGTACTACAACCATTCAAAACACTCTATCAACACCTTAGCAGCTCAAAAATGTACTACCACTCCAAACACCCTAGCAACACCTCAGCAACTCAATAAATACAACCACTTCAAACACCCTAGCAACACCTTAGCAACTCAACAAAAATGTACTACAACCACTCAAAACACTCTATCAACACCTCAGCAACTCAAAAATGTACTACCACTCCAAACACCCTAGCAACGCCTTAGCAACTCAATAAATACAAACACCCTAGCAACACCATAGCAACTCAACAAAAATGTACTACAACCATTCAAAACACTCTATCAACACCTTAGCAGCTCAAAAATGTACTACCACTCCAAACACCCTAGCAACACCTCAGCAACTCAATAAATACAACCACTTCAAACACCCTAGCAACACCTTAGCAACTCAACAAAAATGTACTACAACCACTCAAAACACTCTATCAACACCTTAGCAACTCAAAAATGTACTACCACTCCAAACACCCTAGCGACGCCTTAGCAACTCAATAAAATTAATTCAACCACTCCAAACACCCATGGAAAGCCTTAGCAACTCAATATAATTTTATTAAAACTATTTAGAGCAACCTAGCAATGCCTTAGCAACTCAATATAATTTTATTAAAACTATTTAGAGCACCCTAGCAATGCCTTAGCAACTCAATAAAAATGAATTTACTACAACCACTCAGAACATTCTAGCAACAGCAAGGCAACCCCTTAGCAACAGCATAGTAATGCACTAACAACTACTCTGAACATCCTAGCAACTGTGTGTGTGTGTGTGTGTGTGTGTGTGTGTGTGTGCAGGTTATCCGGAGAAGCGCCCGACCGTGAAAGTCTAGCGTGGCTTCACAGTAATGTACAGGATGTGATGTCACTGTTACAGCATATCCCATCAGCCCCTTCTGCTCTCCCGGAGGTGAGCGAGCACATTTACACTCAGTCAGCTTGTGTGGCTTTTGTAAATACATATCTGATTATGCTATAAATAAATATTCATATTTGTGTTCTGGAAGCCAGCCAATCAGATTGGAGATGTTGTGCAAGATCAGATCTCCAACTCCATGTCCATAGGCTACTGTTATCAGAAGTTATCGTTTTGTATATACATACCTCCTGAATAAACATAAAAATGTGTTTGGTCTGATTTAAAAAAATAAAATAATTGTAAACGGATTTGATTGGTGTGTCGATAGTGAGTGCAGAAATGCGGGTGATAAGCGGCCTTAAGCGAGTCATTGAGTCGTTCATTCAAATGATTCGATCAAACGGCTGATTCATCAAGAATGAGTCAGTGAATCTTTGACTCAACCGATTCGTTCAAACGGCTGATTCATCAAGAATGAGTCAGTGAATCTTTGACTCAACCGATTCGTTCAAACAGCTGATTCATCAAGAATGAGTCAGTGAATCTTTGACTCAAGCGATTCGTTCAAACGGCTGATTCATCAAGAATGAGTCAGTGAATCTTTAACTCAACCGATTCGTTCAAAACGCTGAATCATTCAGTGATGAGCACGAGTGTGAGAGTTGCTGTGATCTTTGTTTGGATTGGAACTATTTTCGCTGCTAAAATAGAACAAAAACAGTCAATATTTCGTCTAAAATGTAAATGACTTAATATGAATTACTTGTTTATTGATCAATCACTGTCATATGAAATCAGTGTGACGTTTTCAGTCATGAGGGTGTTCAGCACTCTTGG